GAGTTCTTGAGTTATAAACAATGTAACTAACACAACTTTCGATTATTCCGATTTCCCGACTTTTTGATGTTTTTCTCAACATTTTCTTCGTAAAAACCTTCCCAGTGCAATTACAAACAGCCGAAGGAAAACGTGAGTGATGTCGATCCAGTCAATACACAATGAAACATTATTCACATCTTTAAAAATACATTTGAGAAACCATAAAGACAAATATAAGTTATACAAAAACAGGATTTGCCTCCATGAAGGATTCGAATTTAAATGCATTCTTCCCGAATATAAGAAAATGTTCAATAATACCTTCGTATTTTGTTGAGACGTTTTCATTTTTACTAAAACATAAAAACATATGTCTATGTATATTCCCGGAGTTGTTTCCTATTAAGGACACGATCAAGTTTCGATCAGTGGCCCAGATATCACATGGGATATGTGGTGTATTTATATGTTCAAAACAATTTGTTTAATTATTGTGCGCTTTTAAGCATCATTATCCTAAAGTACTTGGAAAGTAGTAAAAAAAATAACAATTTAATTGCCTTTTATTCGGTATTCTCTATAGGGTAAGATAGTTTTTGGTATAGGCTACACATAATGGAACCGCTGAATCTTTACTTTACCATGTCTTACTGTGTTTTATTTGAGAAAAATTTCACAACCTATACATAACATGCAAGTTTCTTCACATAACATAACTTATATTTTCAAACAAAATAAATCTTGATTTTATGGAAAACGTGAGCAAAGAATGATAGCGATGAATCTCACTCTCTCTTTTCGATTTCTTATTATTAAATTTAACTTTAATGAAAATATAAATTTATATACAATAGTTTTTTCAAGGTAATGAAAATCCAATTGAAGAAAATTGACATATTTTGAGAATTTTCCATAATTAATAATTACATAAAGTTATACGCTGTCCATTTTCGCCCAAAATATGTCCAAAAAGAACTACGAAGAGATCAAATCATAAAGGTTCGATATAAAATGTGTGGAAATGCTCATATCTTTCAAAATATATTTTGCAACATTTTCGCTGATTTTTTTTTTTCAAAATGTCCATTCATTAAAACCTTTCCACTTCAATTACAGGCCACTAACAGAAAATTTAAGTCAAATCGGTTCAGCCGTTTCTATAAAATATTTTTTGCAAGATTTTCGCGGATTTTTCTCAAATTTTTCTTTCATAAAAACCTTCCCACTATAATTACCGACAAATGGAAGAAATTTTGAGTCAAATCGGTCCAGCTGTTCTATCGATGCGATAGTATACATTTTTCTTGCTCCATTTATATATATATATAGATTATTTGTGACCATTATTGAATTTAAGGGAAAGCTGTCAGTAATACGTTTCCGCATCTTTCTATATTATTTGATACAGCAATCAAAAATGTTTCAGGCCGAAGATTGTTTATAATGAAAATTCAGTAATATCCAAAAATTTTTATTCAATGACAAATATTTATACAACGACGAAGCTATCGAATTTCCATCGTCTTTCATTTAAGTAAGTAGTTACTACAGACGATAGAAATTGGATAACAATTCATTTGTTATTGTAAAATTACGAAGTATCACCCTTTTACAAAAAAGAAGTGTCGAAGTAGATAATTATTTGGAGATTGAGTTAGAAACTCACTTCCAAATGCTTGCAGGGTATAAATACATGCATTCTACTTTTATGGTCGAACGAGCTAGTTGAATTTTAGGCAAGGCTGTAAAGTTCGAATTAAAAAAAAACCCCTTGGTACACCTATCCTATACTCCATCAATGACCCTCATTTTAAATTGAGTTAGTAACTCACTTCCAAATGCTTGCAGGGTATAAATACATGTATTCTACTTTTGTGGTCGAACGTCGAACGAGCTAGTTGAATTTTGGGCAAGGCTGTAAAGTTCGAATTTAAAAAAAAACCCTTGGTACACCTATCCTATACTCCATCAATGACCCTCATTTAAAATTGAAGAGTTCCAGCTCTAGCTGTCCGACAAATACAAATGGAACTACTTTTTATTACTTTTCATGCTGTTTTAGTACGAATTTCCAAAAACCCAGCCTTATCTGACACTCTCACCCCAAAATTCAAGATTCTAGCTTAAGCTGTCTAACAATACATTAGCTTTATAATATCTTAACGTCTATCCAGTTGGAGGGGTTCAGAACCCCTCGTACTTCAAAAGCATTTTTATTATTATAATTAGATTATATGATATAGCACATTGCAACAAGGATATATTATATTTAGTCTCAACCCCTATATTCCAGGTACAGACATAAATATTTTATATGAAATAAAACTCCGATCAGAATTCCGCTTGACGTGGGGTATCCCGGTTATTTCATATAGATGGTTATCATATTGTACGATGGCATATGGAATTTACATTGGAACAACAGCCAGCTTATAAATCTTATATAAACTGACAGAGAAAATTTCCGTGCGAATACTTTTTAAAATCAGTGTATTGAACTTCCTTTTATGCTATTCACAATGCATTGATAACACACAACATATCAGCTGATTTGTTGCGAAAACATTTGTTTTGCTTCTTCTGCCTTGCTCTTTCATTCGTAACACGGCACATTGACGGTGGTTTATCTTCTCCTTCATTCGTCATAGACAACGGCTTTGTCGATTTCTTCATTCCAAATTCTTTCGGTAAATAAGAAGGAGGTAATATTGGTTTCTTCCAGAAGAATTTTCTTCTTTTTCAAGAAAAAAATAATAATAGAATTTTTCCTTTTCTAGTTATAATAATTGTTAAGAAAACATATCCTGTTGAAAAATGCCTCAAGCTCGCCGAAAAGTTCCCTACAGTGGCAAAAAGAAGAAGGATCAATTGCTACAAAAGCGGCAATTGAAAGGTAAGTGGCCATTGGAATGCCGCCCCAAATCAATTTATTCTAAGTAGATATTATTGTTGTTGTATTTTATAGGCTCGCAAAAATATTTGCGTACACGCAGCGATGATGGTGAAACTACGGAGGACAATGAATTAACCGTACGCAAATTAATGATGCGTTCCCAAGGATCCGGTGGTGGGGGTAATCGCAACGCCAATCGTTACAATTTGTGTTTCTACCAGGAATCGAAAAAAGAAATGGAACGTTTGAAGTTGGAGGGACTGAAACCCTATGCTCCTGCCACACCAAAGCAGCGGGAAATCGATGCTAGTTTTTATGATGGTTATGATTTTCCAATAAGACCCGAATGGAATTATGATATGGATAAGGCCACATTGGATCGCAATGAAAATAAATATTTTAGGGTGGGTAAAAATGAAAAGGGAAAACAATTGTTGTTTGGGAATTCATAAATTTCGGGGTTTTTAGGAATATGTTGAGCATTTGCAGAAAAGACAAAAGGAGGAGAACAAGGAATTGTCCTTGTTTGAACTGAATTTGGAAACATGGCGCCAATTGTGGCGGGTATTGGAACTATCAGATATATTACTGATTATTGTTGATGTTCGTTATTCGGTAAGTAGAAAGCATTGAGAATTTTTGTCAAACCGGATATATTTATTAAAGTTTACATTTGCAGACCTTAATGTTTCCACCATCCTTGTATGATTACATTGTAAATAAGATTGGTAAACATGCCATTTTGGTTTTAAACAAAGTTGATCTGGTGGCGCCTGAAGTTGTGGTGGCATGGCGTTCCTATTTCAAGGAGACATATCCCGGTTTGCCAGTTGTTATATTTGCCTCAAATCCTCAGCAATCAAAGAAAGGTAAACGATTCTATCCAATATTCACAATATTGAGGCTATTTTCTTTTAAGGAACCCAACAAAGCCGCCGTTTAAATTATAAACGTGGCATTGAAGGTGTCTACAACATCTTTAAGGAATGCCAAAAAATTGTTCAATCTGAGGTAGACCTTACCGGTTGGGAACAAAAAATTCTGGAAGATATGGAAACAGATAATGCATTTCTGGAAACCGAAAGCGACACGATAGTAGAAAAGACTTCCGACGAAGCCGAAAGTACAATGCCCCATGAGAGTGATGGTGAAAAACGTGAAAAATACTATAAAGGCATATTGACATTAGGCTGCATTGGTTTTCCTAATGTTGGGAAATCTTCCCTAATTAATGCCCTCAAGGGTCGTAAAGTGGTCAGTGTTAGCCGTACCCCGGGTCATACAAAACATTTCCAAACAATATTCCTCACGAATTTGGTACGTCTTTGTGATTGTCCTGGTTTGGTATTCCCCTCATCAACATCGAAATATTTACAAGTCTTGCTGGGCAGTTTTCCCATATCCCAGCTGCAAGTACCCTATCGTTCCATCCAGTTAATGGCTGAACATTTGGATTTACCGAAAATATTAAAAATTCATTTACCCGAAGATTATGATGAATGGTCACCGGTGGCCATTTCTGATGCATGGGCATTTAAACGTGGTTTCATAGTAGCCAAATCGGCAAGACCGGATCGCTATCGTGCAGCTAATCACCTTTTAAGGTCCTGTGTTGCAGGCCAATTACAATTGATCTTACAATTCTATCCACCCAAATTCAATGATCAAAAAGAAATGTGGCTTCAACATCCCGATGTGGAAGAGGTTAAGAAATATCAAAATCTACCCAAAACTGAAAATGAAAAAGAAGAAGATATACAAGATAATGAGGATACATCTTCGGTTAATTCGGAAAGTAAGTCCATATTCTTACAATTTCTCTTAATTATTTTTATTTAATTTAAAAACATTTCATTTCACTACAGGTGCATACGAAACCGATGAAAATAGTTCATCCAATGATGAAACAAATGCCGATGAAGATGATGAAGCTGCTGAAAATGCCTATCTTGCTGGTCAGGCCTCTACATCTCGTAATGCTTTTGCCTTACTCGAAGATGATTAGAGAAAAAGAACGTAAAACAAAAATTGATTTGGATTTGTTTTAAGAAAATGGTCAATGATACCCAGTATTTCTGTAGTCCATGTGGATTGCATTTTTTCACAGTAGGAAGCATTGGCTTCTTTTAGTAATCTTCGTTATCATAATCGTCCTCTTCATCTGTTGGATATTGATCTACATATTCAACCATATCATCCAAAGAAAGTAGCAAGTGTATGGCTCTGCAAAAAGAAAAAGAAACAAAAGCGAAGCGAATTTTTATACGTCAAAATATTTAACAAGGAAAAAACAAATATGTATGTAAAATTGTTATTGATTAACAATATATCTGAAAAATAATAATAAACACTACATTTTATATATGCAAAATAATTCTGCAGAAGCCCTTTATACGAGTCTCCCATTGGGTTTCTTTCCAAAGAACATCTATTAATTAAATACCTACAAAAGATCTATAAAAATAAATACTCCAGAGATCTATAAAAAGGGGAAACTTAAGGGAACCGATTTTAATTTTTCAAGATTTTCAATGGGCTGGTAAATCAATACCAACGCTTGTTAAGGTTTGTAACTTTGCACATATATAATTGAAGATTTTAAAGAGAAGAAAAATAATTTACAAAAAAATTTTGTTATTGTTTTGTTGTTGTTTTTTTTTTTTTGTAATTAAAGAAAAGTCCTTATTTTTGATGGCGGGCATGATAACTCCTCACTGGAACATCGAAATCAGAAAATTACAACGGTGTTAGAAAGAGTACATGTCTGGCTCTCGTATGAACTAGGATTATTGACTTCGCTCTAAAATTAACAAAATGGTAAACCTTTGAAAAATTATTTTTGGAAAATCGCCGATTTTTACCAAAAACCAAGTTAAAAATAAAGAAGATCTTCACTGACGTTGCAAACGTTGCAAAATTTGGAACCGATTGGATTATTAGTTTTGGAGTTATCGTGCCCGCCATTCGCAAAAAAATGTTTAGAGAAAAACGCGTTTAAAGTTTGAGAAGCCCTTCAGCCGTCACTTGATGCTGACACAATAAATCGGCTATATCTTCGAGAGTTCTTGAGATTTTCACTTGAAATTTTGTAGAGACATTCTTTAATCAGTGTAGATTCGAATTATATCAACAAAAATTTTGACCCCGAAAATGGGGGGGTCCCCTTAAATGATTTCTATATATAGACGTCCCTTCAAAGACATATATCTGTACAAAGTATCCAGTAATTACAATAACATGCAGAAATAACGCCGACTTTTTTCTTTTACTTACTTTATCAACTGTTCGTCACTGCTATTCGGTTCTATGGGCGAGGGATGCATAGCCTTTTTCCTTAACAAAACACCAAGGAGTTGTCGCAACTTTAATATCACATGAGAAGATTCGCGATCGCATTTGAAACTATAAAACAATCATGAGAAAAATCAAAATCTGATATAGAAAAATCTTTACTCACAAATAAATATCTGCCACACTTATATAAGGTTCACGTGGTGACAATTCACCCTGTTTAACACCATCACCAAATATCAGCAAAGCCATGGGAAACACCATTGTGGCATCTAACAGATATACTTTTGACGTCCGTTGTTTTTGGAAATAAACAAAGTAACTATAAAAGAAAGAACTTTAGAAATGTATTTAAAATAGAGAAAAAATTCGGCTTACTTCGCATCAAAAGATCCTTCACCACTGTTTACCGATGACGGATGAAAATTGACTTTACGATCCACGGGTGTTGACATACTGTGTATGGCATGGACATGGCGACCAACACGTTTCACCTTTCTATGCCGGCGAGGAAAGATAATTACTATTACAATAACAATTTTAAATATTCCCCTTACCTTAAAAATGCCAAATTTGGATATAGACCTGATGCAATAATTGCTCGAAGCAAGGGAATATTTTCCGAATTAGTATTGGAAATTCGGGCACAACAGTCGGCCGATTCCAAAAAGCTATTTGGAAGAATAACAATTTAGATTAGAAGTTCAAAGGTTTCCATTACAACTCTCCCCATTTTACTACACTTTCTTTCAAGAAAATGCTCAATATTGGTATTTAAAATTTAATGTAATTCACCTTACCTTGAATTTCTTAAAAGTTCAGCAAATTGTTTCTTCATATTTTCAATTTGTGTCACGGTCGATTTACTTAAAAAGTTATTATAGCAATAATTCGAATCTCGTCCTTGCTGTGAGGCAATACGATAGCCTTTGATGACATTGTGAATCAATAGGTGATCACTTTTGGAATTTTCAGCCAATTCCCGTTTTATATTATCCACCTTTTTCTCCAAACCCAATGGTGTATAAAAGGGACTTTTGAAAGATATTCCAGCAGCGGCAGATGTAATGGGATCCAAACAACGAAATAAGGCAGCCATTAAAATCATTTTACCCATTTGTGGATCAATAGGTAAACGGGCTAAATGTAAACCCAAGGGTGTTAAATTCGATTCATTGTCTAGGGCATCTATACTATAATATTATACAAAAATATGTTACTGGAAACTTAAAGAAGTTTTAGAACGTTTACCATTTCAAAAGTCTTAAGCCATGGTTAATTGCCCGAATGTCGGGAACATTTATCAATGTCTTTAGAAAATCGTACGGTTCCTTAATGTGCAGTAGCTTCAAATGCAATATTATCGATTCCAATTTGGTTCGCAAAATCTCCGGCAATGGAATCTCACTCATCGATTTCTCGCGTACTCTATAATAGAAATAGAAAATCCGAAATTTATTAAAATCTAAAATAATTGATGGTTCCGCATTACCTTGTATATAAATTATAACACACGCCCGGTTGAACACGACCAGCACGACCCTTACGTTGTTTCGAATTAGCCAAACTAACCCAATCTTCTTGCAGTGTTTGGATATTTTGTTCGATATCATAATCATTGACTTTGGTACGTCCTGTATTTATAACATAGACCACATCTTCAATGGTCACGGATGTTTCAGCCAAAATTGTGGATAAAATTACCTTACGTATACCCGGTGCCGGGGGTTCAAAAACATTTCTTTGATTGACCGTTGGCATCATCGAATGCAAGGGATATATTTGTATCGTCTCAGCCAAACGTTGATGCCGTGGATTCGATGGCCTCTGCAGTTGATCATTTAATTTCGAAATGCGTTCATAACCTGGTAGGAAAACTAATATAGCCCCTGGCGGCTTATTTTCACATATATAAAATATTAAATATTCTAGAAAATTTAAATTAGCACATCCTTCAGAATCTGAATAACGTCGTAATGTGTCAATAACTTGTCTATCGTATTTATCCTTCATTGTCGAGACATACGAATCAATCATATGGGTGTATTGAAAATTCTTTTCCGATACTTGTTTTTCATGTTTTCGCCTCGGGTTATGGCCCCTCTGGGGTTTGCCCGATGCCAAGCAGTCATTTTGAAAATTTGTATAACCTGTTTCTTGTAATATATCTTCTAAATATAGAACATCTACCGGGAATAGGGTACCATGTATATACAACGTATGACAATTATTAAAATATTCACAAAAGGTTTGCTCCGATACGGTGGCACTCATTAAAATCACTTTCAGATCTGGACGATATGGTAAAATCTGAAAAGGTAACAAGTGGGGAGTTTAAAAAATGAGAGGTGAGTAATATGGGATTTTTTTAATATTACAATTTTTAAAAGACCCATTAGTAGATCCGTTTCAACACTACGTTCATGTATTTCATCCAATATAATTGTGGTTAAATCACTCATCAGTGGATCTGTTTGCATCTTCTGCAGCAAAATACCAGTGGTGCAGTATAAAATGGAACCATTTTCACGTGGCATGCGACTTAAAAGAGATAAAATAAAATTAATTTATATTAAAGACGGTCAAAAATACATCAAGGTCAAATTGTATAAAAAATTGTTAACATCTTGAGGAGAAAAAGAACAATTTTCTCTTATAAGGAGGAACTTTAACCCGGATCTGCATAATTATACTAATTACCACTCGATACCACAGATCATTTCTTATTAAAAATGTCTTGAAACACCGTTTTCATTTAATCAGTAAAAACCAAATACACACCTTTCCAAACGAATTTGATAGCCTACCGAACTTCCCAACGATTCATGACGTTCATATGCCACACGTTCGGCCACCGATATCGCTGATATCCTTCTCGGTTGGGTGCATACAATGCGACATGTGTTACCTTTATTTGCCGCAATAAGTTCGTCCAATATCAGCTGAGGTATTTGTGTTGTTTTACCACAACCCGTACTGCCCACAACCAAAACTACTTGATTTTCTCGTATCGATTTTAAAATATTTTCCGACTGTTGCATGGCCGGAAGTTTTTGGCGCATTTTTAATTTCTTTAGATATTCTTCATTGTCATTTTTACTTTCCAATTCCAATTTAAGGCGCTGACTATGTTCCACATTAGATTCGGGTTTTAAATCAAAATTTGCCTTAGCCTTTTCCAAGAATTCTTCAAAGCTAACATGAAGTAAATTGTGAAAATGTTCCTGGAATTGATGACAAACTTGTTCATCTTGATTTTGTTGTTCAAATGCTTCCAAACATTTATGAACTTGACTTAGAACACCTGGTGGTATGTCCACAGAGGGATTAAGACGTATGGCCCCGGTACGTTGTTCCTCATCTTTTTTCCGCATGCTTAAATTGCGATAATACATGCCGATTTCGCGGCCACTTAGACCAGGTGGTCGACCGCCACCACCGCGGCCATGACCACCATATCCGCTTGCACCATCAACGTCTCCACCATGGCCATGACCACTATAGCCGCCTCCATAACCACCACCTCCTCCACGACGGCCACGACCGTGACCACGGTTGCGATTCATTTTCTGTCCTGGTATAAATGTATGGGAGCGAATGGGGGAGATTTGTATTATTTACGAACAGCTGAGTAAAGAAAACAAAAAGTAGGGTTGCCATGTATACTTTACTTTACGGATATGACAACGTGTATAGATTCGAGAAAAATTGTGAACAAAATCGCCCACTGAATTTGGAATTCTTATAGTTTACTTTTTTTCTACAAGAACCCATGGTACCATCCAAGAACCTATGAGATATACTGCAGAATTTTATAATTAAAATATCTTACGATATCCTACGATATGCATTCTTCTTCTTTTTCTTCATGTTGAAGCTAGTAAAAGGCGAATATTTCAAAATCGCGCACAGAGTACCAAATAAAAGAGAAAGTTTTGGAACGGAACATTTCTATATACCATTTTTACTCGATCGATTTCTCGAGTATAAAGTTTACAAGGAGATTTTGTGTTGGTTTGTCTTCTCATAAATTTGGTTGGACGTTTTACTAGCTTTGTAGGCAATACAGGGACAATCCTCGAATAAAAATTTGCCAAATTTGTATTCTTTTCGATACCAGAACGGAACTTCAGAATACTCAATACAAGGCCTATGATTTGAATGGAAGGCTTCACTTCAAAAGTACTTTTTCGTACGTTTTGTTCTCATATCTCTGTTACAATATTTTCCAACCCTGTTAAGATTTACGAACAACTGCCAAAACAAAATTTTGCAAAATAGCTGCGGAGCTGTGGAGGAAGAATAAAAAACAATTCATTTGTCAATCCAAAACTCAAAACGATCCCATCGATTTCATTACACATTGGAGCTTCAAACTCGAAAATAATGGATCATAATTCATACCAGGATCAAATGTCACCGCCCTCTTGTTCCTTTTCAAATCCATTTCCCAGATATTTCAATAATAACAACAACAATCGTAGTCGCGCCACAAGTGTTTGTTCTTCATCTCTGGAGGTGATGGATGGAAACTATTTAAATAATTGGTTATTGAAATCGGAACTTTTGGAAAAGAATAAATGTGATGAATTTCAAGAAATATTCGCATTACGTCGTCAGCTGCCGGCTATTCAGCGATGTCGTGAAATTTTGCAAGCCATACGACACCATCAAGTGGTCTTATTGGTTGGCGGGCAATTATGTGGCAAAACTACTCAAATACCACAAATGGTATTGGACGATTATATATTCAATAATTGTGGAACTGAATGTCGTATTGCGTGTGTCCAAACAAGAAAACCCAACGCTGTTGCGGCGGCCGAACATGTTGCATACGAACGTTTAGAATCGTTGGGAAATTCAATTGGTCTACAAGTTGCTGGGGAAATGTAAGTGTTTAAACAATGATTGATTGGATAGGGGTGTGTGTTTTTAGCAATAGTAGCGGGTAGAAATGAATTGGTTCTGAAATTTGGATATCAGGTGGATTCATCAATTTCGTATGAATAATTTAGTAAAAGAATATAAAAAATGTAAGCATTGAAGCAAATTGATGTGATCAACATCGGATTAATCTGACTATGTACGATTATTTTAGTCAACTCCACAACATTCCACTAAAAGACATCTGATCTGATTCCTATTTAAATATTCCTCTCTCTTGAGTTTACGACGTGAGATCCCCCAACAGATGCTTTTGAGTGATGTATATCCAAATTAACATGTTGTAGTTTAATGTTGAAATAACAATTTAATCGATTGGTCGACTGAGAACCTCGTCGGACAAGTTCATTCCTCCTGATATTATATCCAGGAATCTAACAAGAATTATAGAATTGAAATATAATATGCAAAGCAAATCTACGATCATTTATCCCTTTTATCCGTATTGGATGAAATTTGGCCAAATTTCGAATTTTTGTTTGGCCAAAGGACGAATGAAAATTTATATGTAACTCCCATATATATTTTAATCCGATTTTATGTAAATGGTGTCCTTATATATCTTTCGATTTGTACGAAATTTGGCATAGCGTACTGAGTTATGCTTACAATGACATATGTTAAGTTTCGTGAAAATCGGTTCAGATTTAGATATAGCTCCCATAAATAGTTTCGTCGGATTTTATGTGAATGATGCACCAAACTCACATTATCTGTCCGATTGAGACAAAATTTTGCACAGCGCACTGAATTAAATCCACACTTATATATGCGATTTTTTTTTTAATCGGTTCAGATTTAGATATAGCTGCATATATAGTTTCATCCGATTTTATGTAAATGGTGCAACATAGTCCCAAGTTTTGTCCGATTGAGACAAAATTTTACACAGATTGCTAAATTAAGAACAGATTGACGAATGTGAACTTTCTTTGTAATCGGGTCAGATTTATATATAGCTCTTATATATATTTTACGCCCGATTTTATGTAAATCGTGCACCAAAATACCAAAAGTTTGACCAATTGAGAAAAAATTTAGCATAGCGTACCAAATTAAGTGTAGAATGGCATGTGATATCTTAGCATAAAAAATAGGTAATCAAACCACATGATTCTTGTACTGCCGACCACAAACTTTTATAGTGGCAAACATAGAACTAGGTACTCTGAAACTGACATGCTATGGAACATCCAACCTTATGGATATCAAATTCTTCAATTTATTATATATTTTAGGATCATATGAGTGTGATAATCATTCTTTCTATCGTGAAAGCTATTTTCTGTAAAAACTTTCAAAAATTGTCCTATTAAACTGTATTTTTATAATGATCAATCATAAGAATATAATATATAATTTAACATTTAAATACCCAAATAAATTACTAACTACCGCTTGACTATGTTATTTTCAGCAACATGCCTCGTGAAACAGGTTACATTTTATATTGTACTGCACAAATATTAATTGGTAGATTTAAAAACGATCCATTACTAAAAAATTTCAGTTGTGTTATATTGGACGATATACACGAACAAAATCCGGAATATAATCAATTAATGGATAATTTGAGAATTGTATGTAATTCAAAAACAAAATATTCAAATTAATTAATTTTTACTTGTTTATTGTAATATACTTCATAGATTTTACCCTACCGTTCGGATTTAAAAATAATATTAATGAGTAATACTGCAGCAGAAGATACATTTTGTGATTATTTCAAAGAGTATCATGCATTTTTTATACATGCAATTACGTCACAACCATCGCCGTTATCTAGAGCATCAAGTTTAACGACAATATACGATGTTCTACAACAGAATGGTGATGATGATAACAATGATGTTATAACAATTTCGGATAACGCATCGTCAATTGTAACAAATGTTGTGCGCGTTCAAAAGAATAATTATCGGAAATCCATGGCAATTCTAAGTAAATATGATGGCATGGATATTAGTCAATTATCGAAAAGGGAACAGAGGCTAATAAATAAACATAGAAAGAGGGTGAAGCTGTTTGAAAAGATGCATCCGAATGCTCGCGATGAACTAATGTCAGATAATGGTCACGGCTCGAACATAAAATGTGCTGCCACCATTAAACAGAGAAGGCTCAGTAGTATTTGTAACAACTCGGAGTTACAAGTTGCTATTATCGATAAATCAAATCCCCATGGAAGAATTAGCAATGAAAAATGGTTCAACCTCGAGGAAATGCTCATTAAAGAAATGATTTCCAATAAGTGGTCTGAAAAAGGTATATCATTTGAAGGTGCAAATTGGTCAAGAGGTATAAAAATAATTAAATGTGGCAATAGCCAATCACTGGAATTCTTAAAAGCTAACATTTCTAAAGTTTGCCAATTTGGACAATATAATCAAATAGAGATCATACCCTATTCCAATTTGCCACCACGTATATTTGCTAAAATGTGGATTCCACCACCGGTACCACCAACTGATGCCATTCTCACCTTAATTGAAAAACAAAACCAAGGTATTGACACAACAAATTGGAAAATACTTAGTTGCAAACCATCCAAAAAAAGCTTTGGTACTGATTATCGTATGTTTATTGATGTCAATTCCTCGAAAGTTTTACAAGAATGTCAAGGTCGCATCAAATATGGTTTGAATTTTATTAGAATTATTGTAGCAAATAAACTATAAAACAACGCATAAACTAATCATAATTTTATTTGCTAACAATAGCAAATGATCTCAAAAAAGCTTCCATTTAATGAAAATGCCCAAAATGAATGAATTGAACTGAAGTGAAGCGGGCCTTCAAATTTGTTTTAATATTTTATACAGTATTTCATATACACAAAGAATTACATTTTAGTTTGGTTTTTATGTTCATATTACTTTTTTATATGTATACTATATACATATGTAAATAAATATATTGAATTTTTTCATTTATTAAAACAGTTTTTTTGTGATTATTGTGTATCAATGTCGGAGGTAATAAATAATCTGTACTTAAAAGTAAAACTATATAGCAAAGGAAAATTTGTACTGAGCGAAACTTAAATAAGTTTGAGAATCCTGCTTATAAAGTGGCTTAACTGATCTTCCATTTCATTAACAATGCGTTATATTTTTCGATTTGCATCTATCTTGAAAACATGGATTTTATCCCCAAGGCTGGGATACCGTGTCATAAATAATTGAAAGATTGTAGAACGATATTCATAACTTTTGAAAACAGTGCAAATATTACTGGAGGTTACAATAATCTTTTCAATCATCTCTAGATCCAGAAAATATCAGCATGATCAGCAGACACCGTTTTGAATGAAGTGGTTGGCCTCATTGAGATGAATTAATGGAGTTTTTCACATGAAGATAAATTAATGAAGCTTTCAACAAAGTCAACGTTGTGTAATGTTTGAAATCGTGTGTTCCGTTCGCTTCATTTTAAATTTAAAATATACGATTTTTGAAGGATGTACTCGAAGGTGTGGACCGATCTTCAAACAGGCGCACATTTGTCAGTCGACTCCAAATTGATTGATGTTTCGTACAATGATCCTCGATCGAAATAGTGGTTTCATTGGACGAAACCTTTCCACGACAGAGGGGTCTACGATCCAAAACGATCCGAGTCTTACTCGGCCAACGTCTGTTACCTCAGGCCATTGTGTAAACGCAATAGGGCTGCTACAACAACAACTATATCGAGATTTCGTTCCGACGACAATAGGATCTACGCTCCGGAACGACCCGAGTTCTACTCGGCCAGGGATTGTCAACTCAACGACAGCTGTACCAAATGAAACGAAACGTTATGTACCATCGCGAACGCTATGATAAAATACGGTACCAGCACACCAAAAGGTTGGATATTAATTTAAAATATCGCGTGGTGCGATTTTTGGTCAATGCCTAAAGGGGTCATATTCAGCCAATTTTCTACAAGTGTGGATATACATATCGGCGAATTAAATAAAGCAATTTCGGTAGTTTTTGTTTTCTATATATTTGGTCCATGTAAGATTTATATTATAATAGGCCTTGGGGCCCATGGAACTTCCTTTCAGCCATTGTGAACGACCAATTAATGTTTGACTTGTAGAAGCCGTTTATCGAACTATAAAACCCTATTATCCCATTTGGGAACAAAACAACCATTGTGAATAATATTCACGTAAGATTTTGCTTGCCGATTTCAGTTTGGAAGAATTAATTTGTTTTGAATTAAAAATATGAGAAATAAAGTTATCCAGTATTCCGTTAGGAATTTTATGCAAAGGTTCAGTAAAAACAAACCCAACTTTGGCACATGCAATGCAGTGGAAATTGGAAATGTCTCCGAGGAGAGAAATGTACCGGATCACATCCCGAAACCCGACTACTATTATAAACCAATGCCGCCCGGCTTTACATTGGGCGAACCAGAAATTAAGAACGAACAACAAATTGAATGTATGCGGAATAGTTGTAAATTGGCGGCCCAAGTTTTAAAATCGTGTACTGACATTATCCGAGTTGGTGTCACTACCGATGAAATTGACAACTTTGTTCACAATCGTATTATCTCGGCCAATGCATACCCGTCGCCGTTACGTTATGCTGGTTTTCCAAAATCCACCTGCACTTCGGTAAATAATGTGGCCTGTCATGGCATACCGGACGATCGCCCCCTCCAAGATGGTGATATTATAAATGTGGATATTACCGTCTTCCTTAATGGTTATCATGGTGATTGTTCGAAAACATTTATGGTCGGAGATGTCGATGAACGAGGACGTTATTTGGTGGAGAAAACTGAGGAGTGTTTAAATGGATGCATTCAATTGTGCCGACCAGAGGTGGAATTTAAAGCTATCGGTAGTTTTATAGCCCGATTTTGCAAACAAACTGGACTCAATACAATACCGGCATTTATCGGCCATGGTATTGGTAGTTATTTTCATGGACCACCTGAAATACTTCATTTTAAGAATAATGTTCCGGGTGTAATGAAATCCGGCATGACCTTTACAATTGAACCTATTTTGACATTGGGTGGTCCCGATATTGAAATACAGGAAGATGGCTGGACGGCCATGAGTGTTGATGGTGCAAGAAGTGCACAATTTGAACATACAATTTTAGTGACTGACGATGGCTGTGAAGTTTTAACAAAAGCTGATTAGTATTAGAAATGATGTGTTAACAGAATAATAAAAATGCGATGTGAGACAGAATTTTGTAAATTGTATTGGTTTTGAAGAGGTGAGTGTCAAACACGTAGTAAACGTTGATTGTAGATCATGAAGTTCCCTTGATCGAACCATAGTTTGTCTATTACTGTTAAAATATAGTTCCTATGTATATTCATACGTTAAACTCATTTTTTAGTTTATGAACTTTGGCGAAGTAATAACGACTTTACTTTTAAGGATGTTGGTATTTGGATTTGAAGCACATATGGGCAATATTGCCAATTTTTTAACATAGCTGAAGCGGAGGTTCACCCCTTTATAACTCGGGAACTACTTAAGTATATGAAACCAGTAAGGAAAGTAGTAAAGTCGGACGGGGCCGACTATATGATACCCTTCACCACTTTGAGTATATTCAAGAAATGAATCCTAACAGAAGTCGTATGTGTCAGTCTCGTTTCCTACTGCTGTGCCAGAAAAAAAATTGGTTCAAGAACCTCAAAACCTGGGGGCTACCAGAAAAAATTGACCACTATTTATAGTGTAGAGATGTGCTACCTAATAAGAACTCGACGTACTAAATTAAGTCAATTTGGTTGAAAAATACGATCAGAACCCCCAAAATACCAAAAATTTGGGGTACCGTTATATGGGGACTACCAGAAAAACTAGACCTATATTTATAATTTTTAGTGGTGTAATTTGGTACCCAATAAGAACCCAATGTACAAAATTTCAGAGAATTCAGTTATAAAACAAGCCCAAGAACCCGAAAATACCGAAAATGTGGGGTACCCTTATATGGGGGCTATCCGAAAAAATTGACATTTACTTTTAATTTTTGGTAAGGAGATTTGCTACCCAATGAGAACACAAAGTACCAAATTTCAGCAAATTCGGTCGAAAAATGCTATCAAAACCCCCAAAATACCGAAAATTGGGGGTAATCTTATATGGGGGCTATCCGAAAAAATGGACCTTTATTTATTATTTTTGGTAGGGATATTTGCTACCCAATAAGAACTCAATGTACCAAATTTCAGCGAATTCAGTTAAAAAATTTGGGGGTACCCTTATATGGGGGCTATCCGAAAAAATTGACCTTTGTTTATAATTTTTGGTAGAGAGATTTGCTACCCAATAAGAACTCAAAGTACCAAATTTCAGCGAATTCAGTTAAAAAACGCGCTCAAGAACCTCAAAATACCGAAAATTTTGGGGTACCCTTATATGGGAGCTATGCCTAAACGTGGACCGATTTTCTCCAATTTCAATAGGTTTCGTCCTTGGGCCAATTAAGTGACCTGTGCCAAATTTCATCCAAATCGGATCATAAATGTGACAAAAATACATGGACGGACGGACAGACGGACATGCATAAATCGACTCAGAAAGTGATTCTATGCATATTCTCAAAAGGAACCATGGGTCTATCTCGATTATTTTTGCCTGTTACAAACATATGCACAAAGACATAATACCCTGTACCACAGTGTGGTGAAGGGTATAAAAAGTGAATAGTTTTGGGTTAATTGATCTCTCGTTGCAAACTGTTCATGATATTGACCTCCAAACTTTATTTTGGTGGAAGCTGTGTCTACTTTAATGTAAAAAAATGTGTAAAAACAGGTTGAGGCGAATCAGTTTTTTTATGTTCTCCATCGATTTGTGACTAATCCACTCATTGCACGGTCTTCGTGTCAAAATAAAACTAGAAGCCAACAAAATGGGGACTACGCCCCTTATGTATCATTTTTCAAAATTTTCACTGCATCTACCTTTAAATGATGCTGAAATTTTGAAGCTCGATTTTGGGTGTTTTTTTTTTTAATTTTACTTCTAGCTTTAATACGCAAACAGGAATTTATAAAAATCGATTATAATTTGATATGTATTTTGTGTATGTAGTATGCACAGCATCAGAGTAATACTCATCCGAAGGTGAGAATTTTGTGCGATCAAATTTCTAAAAAACCTATTTTCAGTGCGACCAGCCTTTAATTATTTTTTCGGGCCAAATTTTTAGATCTGTCAACTGAATGATATGGGTACCCGCGATCAATAAGGTTATTTACGTTTCGGATGATATAAAATCTTCTTCGTGAAAATCCATCTACTAGAACGGCGGGAACTGGCCTTCCAAAAACACGAAATTTGGCAAAAAAAAATGTTTTTGAAAATATCGCGGATTTATTTGCGTTTTCTGTGGATCATTTCCGCTCAATAAATTACCTCATACGGATTTTGATCTTTTTCGAAAAGAGAACATTAAAAACTTCAGCCAAAAGAGAGATGTACCCAATTTATCTCAAAAATAGATTTTGCTGGCACATCCATGGTTCTTAATGGACCACATTATTCGCGTTTTACGATTTTTTGGGTACTTCAATGTAACGTGCGGCACATCTTAGCCGTCAAATGAAATTTCGCAAAATATACAAGGATTGGAAGATAAACTTCAGTACTTCCTGGAAACCGCATGCGCATCAAATGATTTTGAGAATTACGCGATTTACACGCAATTTATCGTGATTATTATAATATATTCATATTCTTATTTTACGGAGGAAGATATATATCAACGTTTTTCGTCAATATAATAAACGGCGTAATTTTAAGATTTTTTTCTTATGCCCAAAATTAAAACCTCGATAACTTTTGCGCGCATCAACCAAAAATTTGATCGCGAACGGTTTCGGAGTCAGAACATTTTTCTCTATATGTGTACCAAAAATCATTGATGTGCCACAAAAACAAAAAAGCTGATTTTTTGAAAATGGAATATTAAAAAATTGGCAATATTGCCCATATACATTTTTTTCTGAAATTTCTTGCATAAAATTAAAAAAATAAATATGATGACATTATTTTTTCGAACCAAAAACAAATATTTTTCCTCAATATCTTGTTTTGTTATCGCTGTGATTTAGAAACCGCTACACGGACTTGTGTGATTTTGACATCATTTGATTCATCATGGTGTTTAGATTATGTAGATATTTTTAAATTAATTTTTAGGTGTGTGTATGTAATTAATATAATGAAAATGTTGATGTAATCTGCTATATTTTTTTATTTTTCTCATATTTCGCGAATATGTGCAACTTTATCGTGATTATTATAATATATTCATATTCTTATTTTACGGAGGAAGATATATATCAACGTTTTTCGTCAATATAATAAACGGCGTAATTTTAAGATTTTTTTCTTATGCCCAAAATTAAAACCTCGATAACTTTTGCGCCCATCAACCAAAAATTTGATCGCGAACGGTTTCGGAGTCAGAACATTTTTCTCTATATGTGTACCAAAAATCATTGATGTGCCACAAAAACAAAAAAGCTGATTTTTTGAAAATGGAATATTAAAAAATTGGCAATATTGCCCATATACATTTATTTATTTTTTACTTAACGTTACGATACACTTTTGTGCAACGGACCGAAAAGCTGTATCGGCTTCTGCTGATGGAAGCGGGATGAATCATTTCACATCATTATCGGCCGGAACTGATAACCAATTACAAATTAAGATCAGGATAGTGTAGCCGCCTCAATCCGTATTGGGCCCGAATTGACAGCGCGGTACCAAACACATGCCCTGCATGTGGACTTGGACCTCACGATACGCTGCATCACTTTAACTGTCCTGCTAAACCCACTTAACTATCTCCGGAATCTCTTTGGACGCAGCCGTTATAGATTGCAACCTTCCTGAACCTGGAAACAGAGGAGTCAGAACCAGAATAATTAAAATACAACAAACATGTAGACAGAGGCTACAACAACAACACCATAAAGTGCCAAAACAAGAGAAGCCATGCACAAAAAAATATATAGAAGAGGTATCAGTCCCATACAGCCAGCATTTGTCTCCGAAGTATTCAACGGAAGGAAGTGTGAAGGAAGTTACACTGAGACATCAAAAATGACTTAATTTAGATCACATCAGTCGGAACCTGAGATTTTGTGTAGTAGAAAGCCTGCGTTCTGTTCAATGGCTTCGATTTCAAAGAAACCTAATATGATATATGTATTTGGTAACTTCACCGTCAATGGGAATAACGCCTTCCTCTATTAGAAGCAACAACAACAATACTGAAAGGGACACAGTGGGACACCATTTGATATTTAAGATATTCGATAATCGATATTTAAGAAGTTGGAGGAAAGAATCCGACCGAGAGAGGAAGTTTATCCCACTTCAAAGAGGTCAACGGTTACGCACGTATTGACGACTTTATAAAGAAATCAAGCAAAAACCTTCAACAATGCGGAGTTGGAAATCTCGACCGATTTAAAATTTTGTTGTGAAGCCACCTCAAATAGAAATGACACCAATCTCCAGAAGAGACAACAAGTGAAACTATACTGATGTAGTAGGTAAATATATCGATGTTTTAAATAAAGAAAAATATGGCTGGCGTAAAAGGAACAAAAAGGGTCAATAAAAAATTCGAAAGTTTTCTCTAAATAAAAATCTCTGTAATCTGGCTCTTTTAATATACCCTGACGAATGTCAGGTTGCAGTAAATGACAAATCTCATTCCGAAGGAAAGGTCAGTCGTTAATTCTCTCTGACGATGTTGATTATAGATACTTCATATTTGAAAATAACGTCCAATAGGATCACCAGCGTCACCTATTATTTCTGATAATTACTATAGGAGTAATTGGCCACTTCTGGGAAATATGTCGACGAAACCGAGACAATAACTAAGTACGTTGATGATATGCTTTGTATAATGTATGCCCAAATATGTCGGTTATCATTCAAATCGTGATGGTAACCAATGCTTGACAACATGCTCTCAGACAACATTCCAAGCTGGGAGTCCGATGTGAGTGGACTTTAACCTCTAGACGGTCTGTTAGGTAAACGGCCCAAGTGCGGGGTTTTCCGACAAAAATATTCTTTATAGAACTCTTATAAGTTAAGGGAACCCCCCCCCCCCATTCTCGATTTGAATTTTTTAAGATTTTCAATGGGCTGGTAAATCAATACCAATGCTTGTTAAGGTTTGTAACTTTGCACATATATAATTGAAGATTTAAAAAAGAAGAAAAATAATTTACAAAAAATTTTTGTTATTGTTTTGTTGTTGTTTTTTGTAATTAAAGAAAAGTCCTTATTTTTGATGGCGGGCATGATAACTCCTCACTGGAACATCGGAATCCGAAAATTCCAACGGTGTTAGAAAGAGTACATGTCTGGCTCTCGTATGAACTAGGATTATTGACTTCGCTCTAAAATTAACAAAATGGTGGACCTTTGAAAAAATATTTTCAATTGGCTTTATCCTAGTTCATACGAGAGCTATACACTCCCAGAGAAACGATGCAAAATTTGGAACCGATTGGATTATTAGTTTTTGAGTTATCGTGCCCGCCATTCGCAAGAAAATGTTTAGAGAAAAACGCGTTTAAAGTTTGAGAAACCCTTTAGCCGTCACTTGATGCTGACACACTAAATCGGATATATCTTCAACAGTTCTTGAGATTTTCACTTGAAATTTTGTAGAGACATTCTTTAATCAGTGTAGATTCGAATTATTTCAACAAAAATTTTGACCCCGAGAATGGGGGGGTCCCCTTAAATGAATCTTTTCAAGCCGAAATTCTGGTAATCAATGACTCGCGACCAGTGACATATCTATTGTGAAACAGCCTTTAATTATTTAAATCACTGATTTCTCTCAGTATGAAAAGGATGAAACTAGTTGTTGGATACATAACATAATTAGATCTCTCCATTCCAAGTAGGAAATCAATCAAGTGAAATTCTGCTGCCTATGCGCGGATGATTATTTTCTTTTCAGTCTGAATACAATGGACCACTGGTCTCCGAATGAAACGACTGCAATAAATTCATTATAAACATTTGATTATATGAAGAGAATGGAGTATCGATTAAACTTTGTAAACCATAACATTTTACCAAGCCAATGTTAAATCCTACTACTTTAAAGCAGGGACAGACAGAGAACCGTTCAAAGAGAGCATGCGTGCGGAGATTTGCCTGATGCGGCTTTAAAGATCTATCGATACACTTTTTCTAGTTAGGATAAACATTTCGGAAATAAGACTCATATTTAGAGCTGATTGAGAATCCGAATTGATACAAATTTTGCAAATCGTAATAATGTAGATTAAGTCCAAATATGATATACATCGGTCCACTCTTTTAGGCGCCTCTTCCACAAACAATAATCGTTCTGAAAACGTATAAATTTCATTTGAAGCAAATGGAAAGAGTCGATTGCAAATCTTAATAAGAATTTTTATGGAAAATTAAACGAACACGCCTATAATTGTTTTATAAAACACACCTAATGTCAAATTCGTTCGCCATTGTCTACAAAATGTAGTAGTCACTATTCGTAGTTACGTTACGTTAGAAACTAATTGCTGAGTACGTTGTGGTAAACAACTATCGACCATTGTGAATGATCGTGGTGAAATTGATCACCGACTGCATAATTGTGAATGCGCCACTGTTGACATTTGAACCAAATAACAGATAATACTCAAACACGCAAGAAACACGACGGACGAGTTTTTGTTGTCGCAGAAAGAATACTAAATTAATATTGTTAACGCAAACAACGACGACGACGTAACAAGAATAAAGTTATAACAATTAAATAAAAACGAATGTAAACGAGGTATGGCAAAAATGTGATTATTACAAAAGCAATTCTGAAATTGCATATTCATAATTAATAAAAAAATTTACAAAAATCAACAAGTGGTGTTATATGTTTTAAACAAAATAACATAGCAATTATACACAAAAGTAAGCTGGCAAGCAAAGTGTGTGTGGTGTGCGAGTGTGTGGAAGAAGCAAGGAAAAAAAGCCAAAAGAATTTGCAATAATGAAACAAAATACAAACATAAAATTGTGATTTGGTGATAAATGTGAATTTGCCGATAAGAAACCGAAAAGATATTGAGTGTTGTGCTGAAACAGCGTAATTTATAATTTTAGAAAAATGTGGAAGTTTGGTGTTTAAGAACCAAGTTCAGTTTAATTTTGTTTGTTTTTGTTCAAACAAAAAAGCAGAAGAAGAAAAAAAACAGGCTGCCTGCCTATGCCAAACCAAATACAACGAGTGTTGGTGTTTGTTGATGGCTGACTGGCCGTCGAGCCTTGAGTGTGCATGCTGCTGAGTTTGTGTGTGGAGAGTAACCAAACAACAGTCGACAGTCATCACTTATGACTTTTTCTTTCCAATAATTTTTCTTTTTATTTGGTGTAGTTTTTTTTTCTGAAATACCTTGGGTAAGCTCTTTGACAGCAAAATACCAGGCATAAAGCCACAACAAATAATAATCATCAACATCATTATAAGATCTACCACTATGATTTCTTGAGAGGAGGAGAGAGAGCCAGCAACACAGATCCGATTCGTTTTGACGTTGTCATTGTTTTTGTTGTGTTTTGTCTTTTTCTCCTTCTTCTTATTGTGGTTGAAGAAGAATTCCAAGACAAGCTTATTTATTGTTACTTGTGTCATAAATTCATAAAAAGAAAACATCCATAAGAATCATCGATTTCATAGAAGAGTGAGATGAGAATAAGGAAAGACCAGGGAGAGAGAAAGAGAGCGCGCGCAAAGAAAAAAAAAAATACTGAGTATTATGCAAACAAAATCAAAAGTCAAATAAATTTGAAAAACCCAAAGGAAACAAATGTTTTTAACATATCTCCAATTTGTTATTGAAACCTAGGCCAAAAAGGTTTTTTCCTCCGACATCATCCCCCTCTGCCGTTGTTAGCCTTTTGCAAATAGCAATCAGTCCCCCATAAGATTTTTTCTGCCTTTTTTGGGTTCAATATTGCCGCAGAGTACCCTCTACTAACAAACGCGGTGACTGATCATGCATTCAACCGACCAATCGACCGGTTTTTGTGTGCAATATTCAATGTTTGATTCTTGATATTTTTGTGTCTATGACGTAAACCCTGAATTTTTAGAACAGCAATAACAACAACAACAAAATAAAATTTATTGACAAGATCAACCAAAAAAAAAGCAAGCAAGCGTTAAAAGGCCATAACACAAACAACAACAGCAACAACGGTGGGTAAAACGAACAAAAGCATCTCGTAGAGGTAAGCCAGTTAGAATCTTTGGTGGGGACTTACACACAACACAACACAAACTAAAATGTTTTCAATCTTCCTTTCCTTCTTTAGTTTGCTGGACACTATTTTCACTAGCAAATACAAATCCAAACATACACTAAGTATAAAAAGTCAGCATACCAGAAAAGGGTAAACAATTTTGCAAATTTATCACCGTATATAGATTAGAATTGAAAATATGTAGGCAAAACAAAAAAGTGATAATAACAATAATGGATCAATGGAAGTGATGGACATAACGAAGTTAGAAAAATGTGGAATTAAGTGCTGCCGAAGATGATTAAAATAATGTGCTAGTCTAAGGACCAATTGCGGATCGTTTTGATATTATTGCCATAAGTAGTTCTAGAGGTCCTGATTACAATGACATATTTTCTTTTTATATAAGAATGGCTACCAAACACAAAAAATATTCTATATAAAAGGAAATTCTGTCGCGTAGCCGATTTTGACATCCATCCATAGGTGAAAGTCTTAAATCCATTTAAAAAGGCCGTTCAGACACAGTCTATTCTATTTACAATGAGATTATGTCTCGTAGCCGATTTTGAAATCTGCCTCTATATGGGCCCAGGTGGATAATTTAGAGTGCATGACTAATAAATGCATTACATTTTTGTACTCAGGACTTCAATAACACAATTTAAATAGAATTACAAAAATAAAGAAAAAGAAGAAAAAAGTATACCGCTGTAGACCCATAGGACTACATAAGGTATTTTAGAAATGCTTAAGAACGGGCTTTTAACTTGACTTAGGTTAGGTTAGGGATGTACGATTGTTAGTAAAAACCGTTCACTCGGAGACTATTGTCGATAGTGATCATCCTTGATACCTGAAAAGAAAAGGGAAAAGAAGAGAGCCAAGAAGATGATGGTTATTTTAGCCATGGCAGATTTTTGAAGAAGCCTAGGATATGATTGGGGTCTATTTCGGAGAAGAAAGCTAGATTATCAATTTCAAATCTTCCAAACTGTTTATGTCTTCTGCCAATCAGCGATGGACATCTACAGAGGATATTTTCAATTGTTTCTAGCTCTTCTTCGTCCTCACATAGACGACAGTAATCCTCTCCACCGGAGTCCCATTTTGAAGTGATAGATCGAATCTTGCAGTGACCTGTTATGATCCCCACAATGATTTTGATCTCTATCTTATTATGTGCCAGCAGCGAAGAAGTTCTTTTGCGAAAGAATACAGGCCAGATAGATTTTGAGATTCTGTAACCAGGTTCTCTCGACCATCTGCGCCGTAGAACAATCGGATTTTGCCAATGAAATAGCCAATGGGTGGTTGCACAGACCTCTCAATCGGTAGATTGGACGACTGTGAACACCCTCGAGCAAGCTCGTCGGCTATATCGTTACTATGTCTTGGAAACCAACATAAAATAACTATCCGTAATATATCATGCAGAGCGGACTTCCAATCAAGAACTGCTTTTGAATTCTTAGTGCACGACTTCAAAGCCTTGAGGGCTATCGGCTGCTTGAAAAACGCAACAAAGATTGTTAAATTTATATGAGTTGTATATTTCTAATTCCCTATTGCAAACGCCTGCATCAGTGCCTTCCTCCATCTTTGACCCGTCTGTGAAAAATGACAGACCTGGCAGAGATAAGGGGCCAATAGTCCTACTAGGAAAATCTACTCTGATGTCATTGAAGTCTCTATGAGAGAGAACATAGTCACTAATGTGAGTAATCTACTCAAGAAATCAAAACCTGGCGTTATGTTGAGAATACTAGCGTGACCATAGTTCAGCGATTACCATTCATCCGTCTCTCGGAGCCTCAGGACACATCTAGCAGCCTGGAATTGGATATTCAAGATCACATTCATGGCTGCCTGCTGTGTGCTTCTTAGCCCTTCGGTAAACAGGAAGCGATCGCTGTGCAAATCGCTGTATTAACTTGACTTACTCTTATTTCTTTAAGTGTTCATATACTATTTTGTAGGATTTACGTCTACACCAATAATAAAACTTGGGTGTTTGGCAAAGTAGAACTAGGGCGCTGAAAACAATGACATTTTTTATATCTATATAAACGAAGTTCATATGAGATATGGACTTCTAAAATTCTGCTGCGATTCTTTGGGTATCATTTTGAAGCGGGCAAGATTCTGAATACCAACGTGTTTGCATATTTGGGTCCCGTGGCAAACTTACTTTTGCCACATTTACCTCAATTTCAAAAAATTAGAAAACCAAAATTGTAAATAAATAAATTTGACATTCCGAGGATAAAATATTGGCTTAATCTTGTGGCTAAATGTTTTAACATAACTCACAAAGAAATGAACCGCCCTTTTTTATGTTTTTCGATTGGATGGCTATTTGCCATGACATATTAGGGTCCTGGTAAATGTTCGGCCAAACCTTGAACATTTTTCTCGTATAATAAGCTGACATGACTAAAGATTCTATACAATGTCACTCTGCAGGGCTTAAATAATATTGGGAATCATCCATTTCCGGATATATCTTGAACTAGGACTTTTGATTTTGCAGATAGTGATGGACTAATAATGTTGTAATATTTACGAAAAACCTGTACGTTCTACTTTCTGTGCTACTTTTAAACTTATTTTACCAGTATTATGGGGATATTCCAGCTATATACTGCTTGTTTTCATATGACCAGTGTCTTTCAAGATCATCTTCTTTAAAAAACAAGACAATATATATGTGTGTGTGCGTTTCCTAAAATGTTTCATTGGCTCAATAACAGGAGAAGGGTTGAAATGTGCGCGCTCACACAAAACACAACCGATCATGAAACTTTGTGTTTACATGCTAAGATAAAATATTACCGACCCTACACAACGTTACGGATCCTTTTAAGAGTTTCAACAGTTTTCGTGTTTACCTTTTGTTGTTTGATTGTTTTTGTGTTTTAATTCTTCTTTTTTCTCTTTTTCATTCATTCATTCATTAATTTTTTTCTTGTGTTTCATCTTAACCGTTCTTAGTTGTATATAAAGGGCATAGGGCGTAGACCCATTAACGCCAGGCAAATAAGAATTTTCTTGTAGATGTTTCTCTTACATTATTCGTACACGGAGATACGTGTTTTTTGTATTTTTGCTTTGCTTTTATTTTGTTTTGCTTTCAGTTCGTGTTCTGTATATTATCAACTATCGCCAACAATTATAATGATAATAATTGTAACAACTACAACAATAAGAAAATAACATAAATTACTCGTCAAGGTACTTTACACTTTGGCATCTTCCAAAAGGAGGTATAGTAAAGTATGGTTATAGCAAACTAGTAGGGACCAAGCAAATAAATATAAATAAATGAATTCTGAAATTAGACAACAAAAAATTAAATCGTTATAAAAAATGTTCGTTTTATACGTAATTCGCTATAAAAGTTTGTAGCAAAATCTGCCTCGGAACCATAAAAAAAGTTCGTCATAAATCTAGAATTTTATCGAATCGATGTCAGACTATATTTCGAAATAGTGGAACAACCAAAATATAAAATGGTAGCACATATATTCATGATAT